ATAAAGTGATTATGTATTATGTGAATATGATAGTATTTGATAAATTATAATGTGTAATGTTATAATATATTTATAAACTTATATAAAGTAAGTATATATTAATATATATAATATATTATATATATACTACAATATATATATTCATGTACACGGTGTCCCAAAAGTCTTAGTGAAGTTTTAAAGCTATTACAGCTTATTTTATATATATATATATATATATATATGTATGATGTATCCACATATTATATATGCATATTTATGCACACAAATGTACATTTGAAGAGGGCCATCAGGTTGGGAGGCCTGAGGCCTGAGACCTGAGTTCTTTCTGTAGCTCTGTCATTACCTTGCTGTGTGGACTTGGAGCAAGTCAGCCTTTCTGGTTCTCAATTTCATCATGTGCACAATAAGGAGGCTGGACTAGGTAGGTGATTTCTAGAAGGTCCCTTCCTGCTTTACTGTTTGCAGTGAAACCAGTATTGAGACCGGTTGTTGACCTGGTCTTTTAAAACGTTGCAAAATCCTGCAGGCTTTGATTTCATTTGATTTTGTCATTATAAGATCATTATACTTCTGATTTATAGTCGGCTTGGAGTTGATTATGACCCTCCCACCCCACCCTATGCCATAGTCAGGAGAAACTAAGTTACATATTAACTATAACTAACTAGAAGGATTTGTAACTAAATCACCTAACATAACGTTCTTTGATTCTTTGATAAAATCCTTTTGATTATCAGCAAGTAAAGAAAAGGACTGGATTATAAACAAATAAAATGTTTCATAAACCCTTTCTCTTATTGGTGAGAAATCAAGAACAATCACAGATTCATTTCCAAAGACTTATAGAAGTACTTTGTCCTCCATCTGTAATGAAAAATTCTGATCCTTTAATTCAAAGTCACCTTTAATAAATTAATGTTTTCCTTCACTTAGTATATACTGTTAAACATATTGTAATTCATATTGTTTTCAATGAACTAAACAGTTTAATCACACAGATTTTGTTTATATGCAAAACTATTTTGATTAACTTTAGTTTAAACACATACTTTCCCCGCCAAAACCTTTTCCACCAAATGACCTTATTTATCTATAGAGTTATAGATTTATGGAACTGGAAGATAACCTTTGATAGCATCTAGAATAGTGTGATGAAAATGAATTAAACAATAATTTTGTTGTGAGAAAATACAACAGAGAAGAGTAACCTGACAAGAAAAGAGATGAGGCTGACCTGGCAGGACCAGTTCCTGATGAAACAATCTCGAAACTACAAACTCTTTGTAGTTATAGATTCCTTTTCAGTATGTTTCTACCCCTCTTTAATGATCCATTCCAGAATTTTCCCAGGAATCAAAGTCAGTCCCACTGGCCTATAATTTACAGATTCTGTTCTCTTCCTTTTTTTTCCAAAAATTGGGACAACATTTGCTTTCTGCAGTCTTTTGGTGTCACTTCTGCTTTCCATGATCTTTCAAATATCAATGACCAGTGACATCTACCACTTCTTTCAGTGTCTGAAGATGTAATTCATCTGGAAAAGATGATTTGAATTCATTAAGGACAGCAAGATGCCTTATCTTGCGTATCAACTCCCTGTTCGTCACTTTTATCCTGTCATGTCCTTTCAAAAGTCATTCTCCTTGGCAGAGAAAAAGAAGCAAAAGAAATATTGAGCAACTCTGCCTCCTCTCTGTTGTCAGTTATCATCATACCATCCACTCCAGTTAAAAGTCCTAACCGTTCCATGAGCCTCCCTAGTCTCCCAATATAGCTTTAAGAAAATCTATTTGTTGGGTCAGCTAGTTGGTGCAGTGGACGGAGCACTGGCCCTGAAGTCAGGAGGACCTGAGTTCAAATGTGACCTCGGACCAAACACTTGACACTTACAAGCTGTACTCTGGGTAAGTCTCTGAACCCTAATTGCCTAAAAATAAAAAAGAAAATCTATTTATTGTTCTTAGCTTCCCTGTGCAGCTTCACCTTACTCTAAGTTTTAGCATTTCTAATGTTATTTTCAGGACTGTGCCATGCTTATATTCATCATCTGTTAGCAGGCTTTGTTTCCATCTTCTGTACATTCCTTTCTAAAATTTTAAATTGGTTAGTAAATTCCACATGTATCCATGTGGGTCTCATCAGAAAAATCTCATTATTCCTCTTCATTGGAATTGTTTCTCTTTGTGTTTTTAGAATTTCATTCTTGAGCTTCTCTTAGCCCTCCTGGGCTGACTTCTCCTATTGCATTTTAGTTTATAATAGAATTTCTTCTTATTTATTGCTCCAACTTTTGGGATGGTTAAATTATAAATAAAGCTAGGCTAGCAGTTATTTTAGAGGGCAGCTAGGTAACACAGTGGATAGAGTATTGGGCATGGAATCAGGAAGACCTGAGTTCAAATACAGCCTCAGACACTCTGTGTGACCCTGGGCAAGTTACTTAACCCAGTTTGCCTTGGTTTCCTCATTTGTAAAATGAGCTGGAGAAGGAAATGGTAAACCACTCCAGTATCTTTGCCAAGAAAACCCCAAATTGGATCATGAAGAGTTAGACATGACTGAAATAACTGAACAATAAGAAGATATTAGCTACTCTGCATATGAGAGAAAGACAGAGAGCCAGCAGATGTCTTGATTATTGAAGTCCCCCTCCATTACTATATCATGCTTCTGTATCGGGCTTGTGATCTGTTTCACAAGCTCTTTATTTCCTCTTTCTGTTCAGGTGGTCTATATTATACTTCATTAACAAAATTATTTCTGCTTTCCCTTCATCAACTTTTACCTAAATACTTCTAATCATTCTTCTTAACGCTGGCCTTGACAGATGTTATCTCTCACTTGACAACTTCGTTGTCTCTACTATATCCTTCTTTGAAGGACGAGTGTTTTCTCCCTTCTCAGAGCATCCAGGTCTGTCCTCTTTGGGGAGACCCTCAAATCTGGTTTTAAGTTCTAACTGTCCTTCTCCTCTCTTCTTTAGCATAACACTCTTCCACTCTCCAACATCCTTCCAAGTGTCGTATTTCCCTTGCTCCATCTTAGAGTTTTCCCCATTGAAGACTTACTTCTGATTCCTTGAGGGACACATCATTCTCCCTAACAGCCTTGGATGTGGAGAGGCATTCTCAAGTCCCTGCACTTTCTCCTCCAGGAGGAAAATCAGCCTACTCTTAGAACACAAATAACAGTCACTAAGCTATGGTGGAAATACAAACATCACAAACTTGATGCATGTCACTGAACAATTTCCTCTTCTCTTGATCTTGGTTGAGATTTTCAACCTTGATTTTTAGAATTATTTGTGTGTGCTTACAATCCTATCCTAAGCACCTGGTCAAAACTTTCGTAGCCAATTATCATAGCTTACAAAGTAGACACTCAATTTGCTTTTCTTAGTCTCAATAGCTATTCTTTAGCCATAACCACTTTCTCTTCAATCTTACCTCACCAATCCACTCCATCAATTAGCTTTATCCTTTAATTATTCCACTTACCTGCTATCACTTCCTTTGCTTTTTTTTCAGCTACCTTTCTCTTTTCTCTTTCCTTCTTTACTCTTCCTCTTCAGGATCTACTCCTTAATCTTTCTTGACCCTCCTTGATCCTGTTAATACTTTCCTTAATTGTTCTTGATTTGGTCTTTTTTCAGCTGAGAAGCAGAATATGGATAAGTATCAGATGGTTCTCCTTCGAAATTTCCTTAGGTTTTTTCCAAATTTCTCTTCCCCAAATTCAGTCTTTGACCTACTTCACTAGTCAAGATACATTCAAGTCAATTCTGTGTTTTCTTTCTTTTTATTAAGCATCTCTCTCTTCTTTTCACTTTTTGGTATCAAAGTGTTTTCTTTTTTAAATTTGTCTTTTTAAAAAATTAACAAGTATGTTTCATTAATTGATCCCTCTCTACCTCCCCTACTGAGCCAATTAAAAAAAAAAGCACTCGATACATAGCTGAATCATTAGGCAAAAAAATAAAATAAATGTCCACATTGGCCATTTTTGAAATTGCATGCCTCTTTCTGCATTTTAAATTCATCACCTCTCTGTCAGGAGATGAGTCATGTTTTGACTTCATTCTTTTGGAGTCCTTGTTTATCATTGTGTTGTTTGATCAGAGTTCTAACATCTTTCAAAGTTGTTTTTCTCTTTAGTATTGTTATCATTGTACAGATTGTTCTCACTTCATTCTGTATCAGTTCACAGGGGTCTTCCAAATTTCCTCTGAAATTGTTGATTTCATCATTTCTCATTACACAATATTCTACTACATTCATAAACCACAATTTGTTGATCCATTCCCAAAAAGAAGCTATCGCCTTATTTTCCAACTTTTGGCTACCATGAAAAGAGCTGCCATAAATATTTTCTTTGATATCTGGGATATAGGCCTAGTAGTAATATAACTTTGTTACAGGGTATGTTCAGTTTGGTAATTTTCTGGGCATAATTCCAAATTGCTTTCCAGAATACCATTCTGTGGCAACTTAGTAAAACATTTTATTTCAGGGAAAGAGAGATAGGGGGCTTAGTTGAGGAAGAAAAGTGGGGTATTTGGAATGTAACTGGCAGGATTTATTGTTTTTTTAAAAAAAAATTCCTATCCAAAGGCAGGAGACAGTGGGAAGTGACTAAATACTTCTACAATTCTGAAAGAAGTCCTTTTAGAAAAAATTTCAGTGTCTCTTATCCAAGGACAAGTAGTTATTTCATGAGTGGTTGAGACTATCAACTTTACCTTGTCCTGTGTGGTTTTTTATTTTTCCTTCAATCACATTTGGGGATTTTCTACTATTAGGTTATCAGGTGGTTGGGAGATTAGTCCATCGAGATGCTGCAAAATGATTGTGGTTCCTTTTTCACACATACACACAATACACACAAAAAATGTCCACTTACTAGTCTGTATCAGTTTATTTTATTTTATTTTTTAAATATTCAGAAAGTTAATTTGAGCTTATGTAGGTTTTATGATAACTCAACTTGTAAATCTATTGTAATTTTTAAAAAGTGAAAGTTCTGAGGCAGTAACATTTTCCTTTAGATAATAATGTCTTATATTTCAAGTAAACACAGAAAAAAAACACTAAACCTTTATCTTTACTATACAAATGTAATTAAAACAACAGACTTCATTCCTGAACATAATGATATGGTTACACATAAAAATGCTTATTAAATTTACTATTGGCCTGATGTGCTACTGCTAAAAGCTTTTTAAGAGGTTATGTGACTGAATGTGTCACAAGTGTTTAGCCTAAAGCAGTCTCTACCAGTATATACATGCAACCTTTAAACAAGGTTTTATGGAGCCGTATGTCAATGGTTCACCATACGTATATACACACTGACAATTTCCATACACAAATACACTCTCTTCTAGCATGGGGTGAGGGGAACATTAGGACAAGCCAGACAGTACAGTGTACTTCAAGTGCAGAAACTCCTTGTATCAGTCTTGGCAATTCTTCTATTACTTCTAGTCTTAGCGAATCACCCAGGGCACTAAGAGATTGTGAATTACTCAGTGTCAACCAGCTAGTGTGTATCAGACAGAATTTGAATCCAGGCCTTCCTGACTCTGAGACTTACCCTGTATCTACTATTGTCTCTTTATAGGAAATTACAGGATATAAAGAACAAATGCATAGCATTCAATTTTAAAGATGCCAGCACCTAGCACTGCACCTGAAACATAGAGAGCACTTAATAAATACTTGTTGCTTGTTTTATGAAAGGATGGCTATAGGAAAATGAGTTCTTAAATTTTGGTGTGATAAAGGCAACATGAAAACACACAGTTGTATACATAAATAACAGAAGTCTATATCAACATATTTCCATTTAAACGATTAGTCTCCTCCCATACACATCTTAATAATCTTCACACAGTTTCCACTGAGATCTTCCTTTGTTCATGGACATTAGAGATGCAGTCAAACAGTTTACTTTCTTTACTTTTGTTTTTAAATTGAAATTCAAATAAATCCACTTTCACTGAGCTAGCTGCATAGTTATTTGAAAAGAGGAGATGACTTTGTACTTGAAACACTCAACTGAAAAAATGTTTCTTAGGAAAGAGGAGCGAAGAAAGAAAAGTAGATGCCAAGTCATCGGTCAATCTAAGGCAAATTGATGGCTTGATCCTCAGTGAATTTTGGGATCTTCTTAAACTCACTCTGCTTCTTGAAGAAAAGCTGGGCCAAGATGTGGTCAGCTGTTGCATGGATATAGTCATCCAGATCCAGGGTTTGAAGCTGCCAATGCAAATCAAAGGACACCACATTAGGACTATCCCAACTCAAATTTCTAAGATGAACTTTAAAATATGTTAGAGCATGCATTTGGCAAACTGGACAATACAGACATACCTGGCTTTACACAGCTGATCTTTCTGCAAAGAGCTATGTAAAGCACCTCTTTCTTTAAATGTACTAGGACAGGGGTGGGGAACCTGAGACTTTGATTCTGTCAAAGGGCCTCACTTGTGGACCTATAGGGCCACATTTGGCCTCGAGGCCACAGGGTCCCCATTCCTCCCAGGAAGCTTAGAGTTAGAAGGGATCTTATAGGCCATATAATTGTAGGCATCCCTTCTATAGCAATCCTGACAGATGACTGTTTAACCTCTCTTTCATTCCTTCAGTGACAATGAGCTCACTATCCAGCATGGCAGCTCTTGTTGAACAGCCCTAGTGGTTAAAAAGTTCCTTCTTATATTAAGTCAAAATCTGCCTCCCTACAACTTCTACCCACTAATCTTAATTCTGCCCTAAGGAGTTGTACAGAACAAGATTACTTCTTTTTCTTATTTGAAACACTCTGAAACTTCTGAAAAGAATGACCATGATTTCTCTAAATCTTGGCATTTCTGAGCTTAATATCTATTAAGGTTTTGAACTATTTATTACTTGTATGAGATGGTTTTCAGCACCCATCACAGCTCCCTGCACATGAGAGGCATGTAATAAATGTCTGCTGCATTGAGTTGAATCCCCTAAAATCTTGGTTGTCTTGGCCTGCACATGTGACCTGACCATGGTAGGGTACAATAGGTCAGAAACTTCCTGTTACTGTGATCTAGACACTATATTTCTATTAATGCAAACTTTTTTCTTTTTTTAAGGAGACACTATAGGAAACTGTTACCTCTTACTAAGGTTTTGGTGAGCTAAAACCTCTACATTTGTTGTATGTGTGTGTGTGTGTGTGTGTGTGTGTGTGTGTCTGTCTGTCTGTCTGTCTGTCTGTCCAGACCTGTGATTTCATCAGAATTCCTAGTAAGGAAACCCCTTCTACCAATACAAATTAATAGTTTTGTAATTTAGTCTTAAGAGAGTTGTCTGGGACTCTGCGAGGTTAAGTGCTTTGCCTTGGATCAGGCAGCCAGTCTGTATCAGAGACAGGATTTGAACACAGTTCATCTTGCCTAGGAAGCCAGCTCCCCAGACACTGTATCACACTGCTGCCAAGCCAGGTCTCTCCTCAGCCCTGTACTTTTTAATTTTTTAAAAACCCAAATGCAAGCCTTTGCCTTTATCCCTTATTAATGACATTCTGTTGAGTTGGGCTCAGAATTTTATGCTCTTTATATTCTATGGTAAGCATTTTTGCAAAGTAAGTAATATGCCTGTAAAATGAATAATCCTCTCTTATCACACACACCCCAAAATGTTATTTTCATATAAATAAATGCTATATATAAATATATGCACACATATATTTTATATATGCATATATATATCTTTGTGAGTTAGGCTTGTTAAAAGTGAAGAACCTATATATATATATATATGACAGATTAGATTTGGAAACTGATCTCACATGTGTTCCTTGTTCTTTCTTCCATTCACAAACGCATCGATCTTGAGGATCCTTTGAACTGTCTGTTACATTGGCAATAGAATTCTTACCTGGTTTCCAGTAGTGAAGGCAAGAATGAAAAGCAGATCCTCATCACATGTGCTCTTGATGTAATGCTGGGTTCCAATAGGGAAAAATACTACATCTCCAATACCAATATTAAAATCAGTGGTACCTTGGGTACTAATGATTCCCACCTAAAGCAAAACAAAATATAAAGGTTTAGTGGAAAAACACAAATATCACCATCAAGAATACTGAAATCAGGCAGCTAGGTGGTACAGAGGATAGAGTGCTAGGACTGGACTCAGGAGGACCTGAGTTCAAATCCAGCCTCAGACATTTACTAGCTGGGTGACCTTGGGCAAGTCACTTAACCCTGTTTGCCTCAATTTCCTTGTCTATAAAATGAGCTGGAGAAAGAATCAACAAACCATTGCAATATCTTTACTAAGAGAATCCCAAATGGGATCACAAAGAGTTGGACATGACTGAACAACAACAACATGCTATTATAAGCTAGAGGCAGTAAATAGGAACTGGTCCCATAGTCAAGAAGAACTGAATTCAAGTCCCATCTTTGATACACACTGACTGCGTGCCCTGGGCAACTCCTAATGACCATAAGTCAAAAAGCAGGTGTCAAATTGAGAATTACTTAAAAGCTGGGACTATTTTTCACTTTTCTTTGTATGTCTAGCACTTAGCCCAATGCTTAGCACATAGGAGGCTCCTACTAAATGTTGACTGATAATCTGCATCAGTAGAGGAAATTTTTTCAAAGAGAGGTTGCTCTGCCAATGAAATCACAGTTCTCTTCTCTTCCCCAGAATTTCTTATAGATTTTAATAAAGGAGTAGTAATCAAGAAGAGCTGAATAAAAGCATATAGTTATAAGGGACCTTTCTCCTTTCACATACAATGACTCAGAGTTCAAAGGGCACAGCAGTCATTACCTAACTGGTTTTTTACAAAATCTTGCTGTGGTTGTTAGGGCCCCATTCTGAAGGATGTGTAAGTTCAGCTCTCCAGAACAGCATCAGCCCAAGATGTCAATACATTTTAATTCAGAAATAGGTACCCAGATTAAATTTGTAAGAGTATTATGTAGTACCTTTGCTACTAATCAGCTCCCTTCCTCACCATTTTCTAAGGGCTATCTATCCCTAACCCCTGCTGGGAGTGTTAATACATTAACATCCACTGACAGATCACAGACCACCATGTGGACATGTACTGCTTGATACACACACCCCTTTTAAAAGGCTGCCAGTCCTCCCTAATTGATATGACTTCTGAGGTTCACTGTTACAAAGGAGATCATGTACGAATTTCAGTCTGGTATTCATAGCATTACAGATTTTAGAACTGGAAGGGACTTTAGGGATTGTCTAATGTGATTCCTCCATTTTATTTAATTAAATTCAATAAACTTTTATTGAACATCTACTAAGTGCCAGGTATTTTACTAAGCTATAGAGATAAAAAAAAAAGTCAAAAGATGGTCCCTGCCCTCAAGGAGTTTATAATCTAATGGTGGAGGCAACATGCAAATAAATATATACAAAGGAAATGATTTGCAAGATGGATAGAAGATAATCAAAAGAGGGAAAGCATTGGAATGCAGGGATTGGGGAAGGCTTCCTATAGAAGGTAGGATTGTAGTTGGAACTTAAAGGAAACCAGGAAGGTCAGAAGATTCCAGATAAGGGGGATGGCCAGAGAGAAGGCCTCCAGCCAAGAAATGGAGTGCCTTGTTCATGGAACAGCCAGGAGGCCAGTGTTACTGGACTGAAGAATATGTGTTCAAGAGTAACATGTAAGAAGACTGGAAAGGTACGAGGGGGCTAGGGTGTGAAAGACTTCAAATGCCAAACAGAGCAGTGAGGTAGGCAGACCCACCATCAGCCTACTGCAATAGTCCAAGCATGATGAGGGCCTGCATACAGCTTCCACAAGGAAGCTGAGGTCTCCCCAAGCTAAGCGATTTCCTTGAGCTAACACAGGTAGTAAGTAGCTAGAACTTCAACCTAGGTTCTCTAACATCAAATCAAAGTTTTTTTCTACTAGAACAGATTATCAACAGTTTCTTTTAGCCTTTTTTTTTGGCATCAGAGAAGAAAAACAAGAAATGTGTTTGCACAATAGTATTAAGAAATCACCTTTCCACATCCACTGATGACATATCCCATTTCATTAGCGTTGAAGTGAAAATGAGGCTGTCTTAAGCCATTGGTGTAAATTCTGAGAGTTCCCAGAGTAAGAGAATTTTCATGCTGAAAGCAGAAAGAAATACAGATGTTTAGTTAATGTGCTCTATTACAACATAATAGTCTCTTCAGAGTCACCCAAGTCAGATCATCCAGACCCCAAAATCCAAGGTGAGCCCTGAATTCCCTGCCCGCCTTGCTCTAATTAATCTGTTCATTGACAAACCTCCTCCTGCCTGTTGATCTATAGACACAGCTTGAAAATATGTATTTTTAAAAGAGAAATTTGGATCCTACTCTGTTATAAATTCCAGGGCCCACATAAATAATATTCCCCAAATTACCTGATTCAAGGATTCACTGAAAATTTTCTCATTGACATTTAGTCCATCTCCATTTTTTCGATACCGAGCCCATTGAATTATTCCTCCCGGAAATCGAAATTCTTTTGAACCTGAATAAGAAGAAGTTTGAAAATCACAAGACAACCAAGAGACTTCCAGTCAGCAGTACAAAAGATGGGAGCAACCACAGGACGCAGAAAGATGTCAGCTTTCCTGTAGGAGGTCAGGTGACCACTGAATGGAATGATTTGAGGGATGTCACAAGACTCTACTGGGCCCCCAAACCTTGGCCTGCTATAACACCTGCTATCTAGCATAAAACTCCCATCATCAAAATCCCTGGGAGTGAAATAACAAAGGGAGGGTCATTTGTGGCACTGAGGTGTGGTGGGAAAATTTGGAGTCAGAGGAACCAAATTCAAAACCCAACTCTGGCACTTAGTAACTATGAGATCCTGGACAAGTCATTTCATTTCTATGGCTTCTTCATCAGTTCATTGACCTCTAAGAAACCTTCCATCTCTAAATCTATGCTCCTATGATTGTTTCCAGAGGTTTCTGCTAAAATGCATACCACCCAGTGGTCGTGGGGGGGGGGACTATGAAGATTTAGCCCTCTCCCATTAATATCTTGCAGCCAGTTAAAACATGTGTGAGTGACTACACAAACCTTTACAAGCCCCAGTGGGGTAAGTAAACTTAGAGTAGATATTCTCCTACAAAAAAAGTGGGAACTAGGGCTTAATGTATTGACACTGAGAGAATGGAAGGGAGGAGGAGAGGAAGGAGACCAGTAGGGGAAGGAGGGAGGCAGGGATGAGGGTTGGGATTTGCAGTAGCAGGGCAGTGACTCATGAAAGTGGTGGAGAGTGGAGCACAGTAATAATAATAAAAATAAGCATATAGCATTTTAAAGCTTACAAGGCACTTCATGGATATTCTCTCATTTTATAGCATCCCAATAGTGTGTTGCTAAAAACCAACCCCTATGGATATCATATGTCACAAATCCCCATCGTTGGGCAAAATGCTCCTCTTTTGATACATTCCCTTGTCCCAAAGCTCCCCTCTATAACCTTATCAGAGTCTATTAACTCTCTCTTTGTCTATCCATACAAAAGCACAGGAGAATGCAAGGCAGAAAAAAAAGAAATCAAGTTATTGAGAAAAAGCATTTTTTTTAGTGAAATTAATCCCAGAAGCTGTCTACTTGGAAAACAGAAAGCCATGAAGTTAAAATTACAATTATATACAACTGTGAGTCACTGACATCCCATTTTGCTTGCACAAAAAAAGATAGAGGTTATTTCATATATTTCTAAGTCCAAAGAGAAAATCCTACCAGGTCTTCACACTGTGAATCTCTTCAATAGTGTGAGTTTCATAAAATCCTCACTTGGTTCCATGTTTATTGACTATATGAACTATGTTACTCCATCCTAGATTAATTGGGTTTGGGCCTCAAGAAAAGTATCATGTTGGTTCATCCTGTACCTTTAAGATCATAAAAGTATCGCCACACCAGGCTGTCTGGAGATTGCAAGTAGCTGGCCTTCGTAACCAGCTCAGCCAAATTGGGAGGGAGATTGACAGCCTGATCCTCTTCTTGTTTCTGGAACGTTCTAATGAAATTAACTCCGCCTTGAGGCTAAAATGTACAAACAGCAGCCCCATTAGTTTTTTATTGTACCTCTTTAAGATATCAAAGACACAAACAGCCCCATCTAAAGTCAAAATACAACTAAAAGTTTGGGAAGTATCTCACAAGCATTAAAAGGCCTATCCTAATTTTATGCTAGCCTTTCCAGTTGAAAGAAATACTGGGAGCATCAACTGTATGGGGCCTTTCTCTTGCCCACATTTCTACTAGCCCTTCTACTTCTTCCTCATTTCATCAGGCCACTGGTACTCAGAAACATCAATCTTGAAACTTGACCTCATTGAGCTCCCAACAGGCTACCCCTGCTCAGAGCCCTTACTGTCACACTTTCCAAGTCTTACCCCTTCCCTGGAACAGTATCTGTTCTCTCAGTAGTTCTCCGCAGGTCATCTTAAGATTCTGGGGAGTCAAAATCACTACTCTCCAGGGAAAGAGTAGGGATCCTTGCATCAGACTAAGAGCATACAAACATTTGTGTCAAATACACTGTATTATTGCACACAGTAAGTGCTTAATAAATGCTTAAGTGAATTTCACGTTTCTCCGCAACCCAGACAGTATTCTATGGAAATCTCCAAGAAAGGAAACAAAAGCAATTCCATTTCTAGCAAGACATACCATAAGGGCTCAGGAAATACTATCCCAAAGTGGAAAGGTCTGCCTTGAGAGGAAGTGGGTTCCTAACGCTGACATTTCTAAGTGAATGCTGGAGGATCACTTGGGAGGAAAGTTGTAAAAAGCTTTTCTCTTCAGGTAGGACCTGTGCTGGAGATCCTTCAAGGTCCCTTCTACTCTGAGATTTTGCAATTCTAAAGCTGATGGCTAGTATAGTGAACTTGAGAAATGTTCATTAAATTAAATGTCCCTTCAGGGCCACATTTCTTCTAGCCCCACCCTGAACACCCTGGGCTGGCTTTCACGGTCCATCTAAGTTAATCCAAAGCCGCATGATGGCATACACTTCAAGACATGGTACAAACCTTGAGGGACCTAGCTGCAATGTCCTCTGGTGTAGAGAAAAACACGTCATCAACATCCAGGGTCTGAAGCTCTTCATGAGTGGTGAAGAAAAGCAAGAAAAGGCAGTCCTCAGTTCCCACATTCTTTATCCAGTGCAGGATATTTTTAGGAAAGAAGATCACCTGACCAGCAGTAACATTGTACGTGGTGACCACACTGCCTCCATCATCAACCACCCCAATCCAGGCAGTCCCCTGGGAAGAGCACAAAGGGAAGAGTACCATTTGTGTGTGCACAGGTTGGTAACTATGCTTTCCAAATGGTAAACTGTCTGGATGCTATATAATAATAATAACAACAACAACAACAACAACAACAACAATAATAACTTAGGCTTGCTTGGAACTCTCTATTTTGGAACCATGTTTGTACATATTGCCATTCTTTCATTTGGTTCTCACAACACCTCAGTGATGGGCAGAGTAAGTAGTAGTAGTTGCATTAGTAGGAGTAGTAATACTTGTACTAGTAGTAACAGTTGTAGTAATAGCAGTACCATTTTATAGATGAGGAAATTGAAAGACAGAGAAGACCAAGATCAAGTACTGAAATTTCATAACCAGCTCAAAAGCTGACCAGGAAGGAATTTATGTTTGCTCTCTTATATTTAATAAAACCCATGAACTGCCAGACAAAAAGGAGCCTGATAATGCAGAGGAAAGACAATGAAATTTCAGTGGATCCTGCTCACCCTCACCTCATCCAGTGAGGGTGAAACTCAACCACAGTATAAGTAAAGGTAGGTTTCAGAAAAAGTTCAAATGAGACATGAAAGGGGTCTCAGACACCTAGGAGATGTATACAAATGTGTGTGTGTGTATATATATATATATATATATATATACACACACACACACATGCCTGTATATACATATATACCTATATATACTCATGTGTATTTATTATAGGTATAATGTGTATGTATGCATGTATGTATGTATGACGTGCTGGCTCTAGGAGGCAGCTAGGTGGCTTAACAGATAGAGCACCAGGCCTGGAGTCAGGAAGACCTGAAATCAAATCCGGCCTCAGACACTCATTAGCTGTGTTCCCCTGGGTAAGTGATTTAACCTCTTTTTGCCTTCTACTTAATGGCAAACTGCACCAGTTACTTTGCCAAGAAAACTCTATGGATATTATTGGTGTGACAGGGTCCACAGGGTCATGAACAGTCAGAGACAACTGAAAGACCATGAAGTGCTTTACAAGCCCCAAAGTGCTTGGTGATTTCACATTTTCCCTCTGCCTTGTACTTAACAAGTGTTTGGTGAATTGAATAGAGTCCAGACACATCACTCATCTCATCACCGACTAACACCCCTGGCTCTCTGCACTGCGAACCTCAGAGAGACAAGGTATGCTGCACTTTGGTGGCCAGAGGAAAAGGAGCATGGACAGACATCCCCTAGGGGTCTTCTTGAACTGAAGGGAACTTATTATGCAAAGGATGTCAACCCCAGAACTACCATGAGTCTGTCTGGTCAATGAGTCTGAGATCCCTATCAGATCTTTCTTGAACTTTTGCTGAAGCTTTCCTTTAATTATCGTGTGATTAATTTTCATCCTGACTGGAGCAGGATCCTGAGGTTTCATTGCCTTTGTTCTGTTTTATCACTCTCCTTCTCACCTGGGGCTTCACAAGTTTTACTGGATGTACACATACATGTATGTGTGTATGCATGTATATATATATATGTTGTATACCTACAGATCAGTGACATGTCTACACATGTACATACACAAAAGGCCCAGAAATAGTAGATGAAGTCAGGTTTCTGAGGAACATCAAGCAGGGCTATTTCACTAGGCCATAGCACGCATGCTTGACTTCAGGAGAGTAACCTAGACCTACCTGTGCAAGGTAGCCATGTTCATTGGCATTAAAGTGCCAATGTGGGGCACGGAGGCCATTACTTTTTATTCTCAAGGTTCCAAATGTCATGTGTGACCGCTGCCTGTTCAAGCTAGTGCCAAAGGCCTCTTCTTCAACACTGAGGTAGTCCTTGAGATTATTCCGGTATCGTGCCCACTGGATAGCACCACCTGGGAACTCAAATACCTAGAAAACCATGGAGAAAGGGAATACCGTCAGTAGGGACAGAATCATATTTGATGTTTAGAGCCACTGTGGGCCTGCATGTTTGGAAGAGGGAGTGAAATATGAGAGATTAAGTAAAAAAAATTCCTAAATACTTACTCTGTTCAAGGCCCTGTGCTAGGCACTAAGGATAGTCTGACACCCTGATAGGTCTGTGAGCTCACGGATATGAGTATTCTTACCCATGATGCAGCTTACTACCCAACCATGTCTGCAAATATTACACAATTCTCCTCCATGTCTTCCCATAAATTCACCACAGGAGAGCCATCCAATGTGCCCAGGACCTTCCCTCAGGTCTTTGGACATTGCAAAGATACCAGTGGAAAAACAATCCAAGAAACATTTAATGCAAGGGTAAGTTGTCATTCAGTCGTGTCTGACTATCTGTGACCTCATGGATCATAGCAGGCCAGGCCCCTCTACCCTTCACTCTCTCCTAAAGTCTGTCCAAATTCATGTTTGTTGCTTCCATGATACTATCTATCCATCTCAGCCTCTGCTGTCCCCTTCTCCTTTTGCCTTCAATTTTTCTCAATATCAGAGCCTTTTCCAATGAGTTCTGTCTTCTCATTATGTGGCCAAAGTATTTAAGCTTCAGCTTCAGTAGGTAACCTTCCAGTAAATAGTCTGAGTTAAGTATTGACTGATTTGTCCTTCTTGCTGTCCAGGAGACTCCCAAAAGTCTTCTCTAGCACCACAATTTGAAAGAGTCAATTCTGTGGCACTCAGTTTTCCTTACAATCTAACTCTCACAGTTATACATTGCTACTGGAAAAACCATACATGTTCTTCATGACCCCCATATGGGATTTTCTTAGGAAAGATACTGGAGTGGTTTGCCATTTCCTTTTCCAGTGAATTAAGGCAAACAGAGGTTAAGTGACTTGCCCAGGGTCACATGGCTAGTAAGTATCTGAGGTAAGACTTGAACTCAGGTCTTCCTGATTCCGAGGGGAGTGCTATATCCACTGAGCCACCTAACTGCCTCAGGGGAAAAACAAAAACAAACAAATAAAAAAAAACAACAACATAGCTTTGACTCTATAGACCTTTGCTGGCAAGGTGCTATCTCTGCATTCAGTATGCTGTCCAGATTTGCCACAGTTTTCCCTGGAATACCCAGAAACCAGCTGGGCCTTTTGATTCATCCCTTAGATTTAATGCTGACTGCTAAGGAAATGAGGCCTGGCTTTTGTGTTTTGTTTTTGTTCTTGATTCAGCTTTGATCTGCCCTCAAACTGCAGTCCCAGACACCCAGGACCCTCTCATCTTGCTGGTGTTAGTCCTGGTTGACAACAGAATAGAACATGGCTGGCCCCAGGGTTGGGGTAAATATGCCCCTCTGGCCAGTCAACTTGCAATCTGGAGGACATAATATAACAACAGCAACAACAACAACATACCCTTTAAGGTTTACACAAGACTTTATATATGTCTCATTTTATCCTTATAACAACCCTGTGAGGAAGGTGCTATTATTATCCCCATTTTATAGATGAAGAAACTAAGGAACAGAGAGGCTATGATTGACTGGGATTTGCCCAGGGTCAGTATTAGTATCTTTTTTTCCCGTTAGTATCAGTTAGTATCTTTTTTTCCCCTTTTTATTTATTTATTTATTGGTGAGGCAATTGGGGTTAAGTGACTTGCCCAGAGTCACACAGCTAATAAGTATTATGTGTCTGAGGCCAGATTTGAACTCAGGTCCTCCTGACTCCAGGGACATCACTCTATCTATTGTGCCACCTAATCTAGGTCATATGTTGATCCACCTGACTCTTCTGTTCAGGTAGGGCTCAGCTGTTACCTCCTTGCACCCAGAAAGAGATTCATTTATTGAAATGTTTATTAAGAACCCAAGTTGTTTGACTGTTTGTTAGTTTTATACAGAGTGTTGTTTCACAACATGTAATTCCTACCTTGGATTTATGCAAACGATTAAGAAACTGGAATTTAAAGTCAACAGGATTTTCACTCTTTGGGTCAGTGGGAGTTTCTGGTGTTCTGTGGGCCTCAGGCTTAATATTTGCATACGGCCGGTAGGTGGATGCATATACCAAGGAGAGTATCAGCACACCTATCAATGTGGTAATAATACAGGCCAGCAGACAAACCAGGAAGATTCTCATTAATGACCATTGGCTCTTCTTTTCCTACAAGAAATTATGAAACATTATTTTTTTTACTTGTAAGGAATCTGGAAAATCCTTCTGTTTAAATGAAGCCTTCTTTGCCTTTTACCCAGAAGAGCTTTCATCTTACTTTTATTGAATAAACACTCTTCCCAACAGATATAGATGGATAGATAGATAAATGAATGGATGGATAAATAAATGAATAAATACATAAATAAAAGGGTGAGTAAATAAATGAATAACTAAATAGATAACTAGATAAATATACTTGAATAAATAAGCAAATAACTGAGAAATCAAAAAGACAACTATTTGCATCTTCTGGGACAATTGAGAAATTTTAATAGTCCATTAATCCAATGTATGGCTGCAGAAATGTCCTTTAATCTTCCTTTGTCTCAATTCCTGGAGCTGTGAAATGCAGGTGTTAGATTAGACAAAAGCTAAGCTCCCTTCCAGCTCTAAAATTATATGTGTGTCTATATGTAAGTATATGTTTGTGTATTCATGAAGGGAGAAAGCAAATATATATCAGCTCCAGGAAGGAAGGAACAATTTTTTCCTTTGTATTCTCTAGTACTTAGCATATGCCTGGCATGAAGGTAGGAAGGAAGGAAGGAAGGAAGGACAAAAAGAAAGAACGGAGGAAGGGAGGGAGGGAAAAAGGATGGAAGAAAGGAGAGATGGAGGGAGGAAGGAAGGTAGGAAAGGAAGGAAGGAAGGAGCAAGTATTTATTAAGTGCACAACCCTGGAAAGTAGGTCCTATTATTATATTCATTTTACAGTTAAGGAAACTTAGGCAAACAAAACTTAAATGCCTTGCCCAGGGGTGATTCCTCTAGCAAGTGTCTAAGGACAAATTTGAACTCACATTTTCTTGACTCCAGGCTCACTGCTCTATCATTGGGCCACCTAGCCGTTTCACAGCTAGTGCTGTGTAGAAGTTTAAAAATGCTTGTTGACTTAACTTGATATTATTTTCCCTAACTGAACTTCATAGAGGTTGCTATACTCACAGTCACAGAGTTTATGTCAGAAGCAGTGTTTGAACCATCTTCCTAATTTTATCAACTCTACATTACCTTTGGCAGCTAGGTAGCACAGTGGATAGATTGCCAACCCTGGAGTTAGGAGGTCCTGAATTCAAATTTGACCTCTGACACTTAATAGCTGTGTGACCCTGGACAAGTCACTTAACCCTGTTGGTCTCAGTTTCCTCATCTATAAAATGAGCTGGAAAAGGAAATGGCAAACCATTCCAATATCTTTGCCAAGAAAATCCCAAATGGGGTCAAGGAGAGTTGGACAGGTGTAGTGCATACAGCACCAGCCCTGGAGTCAAGAGGACCTGAGTTCAAATTTGGCTTCAGACACTTGACACTTGCTAGCTGTGTGACCCTGGGCAATCATTTAACCCCATTGCCTAGACAAAAAAAAAAAAGGAAGAGTTGGAGACAACCGAAATGACTCAACAGTACTACATTGCCTTAGAGAAGCAAATACCCCTTTAAAGGTAACTTATTGCTCTATGGTTAGAATATAGTGTAAATTAATCATTAATCATATTAACTTTTTTTTTAAAATGAAGGGTGGTTTGGTTTGATTTTAGGTGGAGAAGAGGAAAGAAAGTCAATTGCTTAACACTGAATACTTAAAAGACATGTGGGAGGGGTATTTCTAAGCTTAGGGCACTGAAAAGAAACCACTGATTTCATAATTTTGCCAAGGGCTGGTCCCACTGAGATACCTTGTCTACTAGTTGATCCCCAGAGTAAAAACCAAGGTAGGGACTAATTATTTTAGGGACTTGCCCAGGAAGGAAACTGGCCAATCATGAAAGAAAACAAAGTAGCTTGACTTCCTGGTGACTTCTGCTTTCCCCAATAGTCCAGAACCATACTCTATTTTCTAAGAGATAAAAGGTCATTTAGCACGAACAAGGGTGATAATGGCATAACATTTTTGAGAAGAGAGAAGGAAATTTCTGACTGGGCTACTTGAAGTGCAATTTTTCCTGAAAGCAGGATGAACCTTAGGTTCCTCCCTGAATATCTCCCCAACCTCATGATCCTCTACATTAATTAATTAATGCATTGGTGCACATGTGTCTTGCATAACATCTATGTAATGGAATTCTTTTCACTCATGAAGTATGAAATCCATCTATAATACAGCATCTTAGGGAGTTGCCTGAGGCACAAAGAGGTTAATTTAATAGCTTATGTGTGTCAGGAGTGGAACTTGAACCTGTACCTTCCTGACTCCTTATTCCTAAATCCATATGCCCTGCTGCTTCTATGGGATTCTATGTCAGAGTGTATACACCTCATACACTATGTGTTCAGCATGCTAGAGTGGATAGTTTACCAATCACTTAAGGGTGGATCTGGCAACCATGTGCTAGGTAGACTCTGTCAATGTTAGGATTCTAGGGTTTTTTAAATTTTTTTTCTTGCTCTATAATATAGTAATCAATTTCAATTAAAACTGACTCCAGAAAATAAAATGATTGCATTAGAGCATGTCTTCTAGGAAAAGGTATATTCTAAATTACTGCTTTAGAGGCAATATGTTTAACTTGTTACACTGTTATCCTATATATAAATTGTCAGAGATGCAAAGGACCTTAAAGAATATATAGTTCACAATCCCTAATTTGGCTGATGAGGAAACTCAGGGGGAGAGACAAAAGTGACTTGCCCAAGGTCACCATAGCCAGTTAATGGAAGAGCCAGATCTTTGAACTCCTAATCCAATATTCTCTCCCATTTTACCACCTGCCACTCTACATGTTTTGGACATTATTATAATTTTTGTTAATATAATCAAATCCAAGTGGTCTCAGTTATAACTTAGCAAATTTACATTTAGGTATATATAAAGTTAGTTATATAGATTTACACATAATAATCCATTTTTTTAAAAAAATTTAATTTTTTTAATTTTTAAATTTTTTAAAAATTTCAAATAATATTGCCACTACCACTCCCTCTTGCCTGCCTGGAAACCAATATTTGTTCCTTAATTTAAAAAAAAAAACACTGTTTCTGCTAACACACCTGTTTTCACAGCCTGCTAAAAAATAGGGTAGAGATAGGGCTGACCCCGTTCACAAACAGACTAAGTATTCTAGGTAAGATGCCAAAGTCCAGACTATGGACATGTATCTCTTCCACTGCATTGGATGAAGCTCCTACCATTTGCATTAGTTTTATGGGTTAAACTGTTGTCTGTTTCAAGAAAATTCCTGGTCAAAGCTCACCTCTGAGATTTACTAGCTTTGGTACCCTACCTGAATCATTTAATAGCCTTTAGTCTCAGTTTACTCATCAATGAAATGGAGGTTATAATTTCCTTAGTACAAATTAGTATAATTTCTTCCTACAAGGTTTTTGAGAGGCTTAAAGGAGAAAATCTATGTAAAACCTTCATAAATTTTAAAGCTATATGAATATTGGTTATTGAAACACATAAAGAAACAGTTATGGGGCAGGGAAGTCTTTTGGGAGAAGAAAAAGCTCTCAAGCCATTAACCTTACAGCATGGATTTACTGATAGACAGTAGGCCCCTGGAAGAACTAAATTAGAGAACCAAAAAGACAGACATGGAGAGTGAGAGCCACAAACTGCCCAAAGTAGGATGGGAGAAGGGCACAGGGGAGGGGTTGCCTCAATTCAATTTCATTCATTTCAACCAACATTTTTAAAGCACCTTCTCTACAAAATACAGTGTTTGGTGCTGAGAGTACAAAGACAAAATGAAACAGGCCTTGCCCTCAAGAATCTTACTGGGGGGGAGGGTGAGGGGGACTCTAGCATAAATAAATGGTGAGGGGTGAAGAAGAGATTTGCATATTCAAAATAATATCCTAGAAACTTAGAGCTGAAAAGGGCCTTAGAAATCATTTAGTTTAGCTTTCATTTTACACATAAAGAAAACTGAGGCCTAGTGAGGATAATAATAGCTGACAACAATTTAAGGTTTGCAAAGGCTTAGCATATATTATTTATTTAAGTCTCTTAATAAACCTGTGAGGTAGGCAGTGCAGATGTTCTCCCCGTTTACGGGTGAGGAAGCTGAGCATGAGAGGTTAAATGACTTTTCCATGGTGCCTTGGCTAGAAAATATTGGAGGATGAATTTTAACCCAGGTCATTTTGATCTCCCAGTCCAGAACTCTATCCACTACACAATGCTGTTGGCACCCAAGGGTCCAATATAATTTTTGTTTGTTTGTTTGTTATTTTTAGGCAATTGGGGTTAAGTGACTTGCCTAAGGTCACACAGTTAGTAAGTGTCAAGTGTCTGATCTGAGACCCGATTTGAACTTAGGTCCTCCTGATTCCAGGGCCGGTGCTCTATTCACTGTGCCACCCACCTGCCCCTCAATAGAACGTTTTTATGAGTCACTGTTCCATATTTTTCTTGGCCTGACTGCTAGAATCAGGGGCAAAACAAAAGTCCTCTTAAACTAAATTTATTCTAATTTGTTCATAGGCCTAAATTTTTAAAGAGTATGTGGGTTTTTTGAGGTAAAAGGGAGAAAAGAAAAAAATTTGTTTCTGAATATATAGCAGTAACTATCATAACTGCCTTATTACTTTTAAAAATAATTACTTCCTTACATTCTGTTAGATACGCAAAAGTTATATATCTCATAGACCTGTAAGCATCTCATTCTATAGCTTGACAATTTGGCCCTGGTTATTTTGGACTTGTAGCTAGGTGGCACAGTGGACAGAATGCCAGGCCTAGAATCAGGAAGACTCATCTTCCTGAGTTAAAATCTGACTTCAGACATTTACTAGCTGTGAGCCTGGGCAAGTCACTTAACCCTATTTGCCTCAGTTTCCCCATCTGTAAAATGAGGCAGAAAAGGAAATGGCAAACTACACCAGTATTTTTGCCAAGAAAACCCTATGTGGTGTCACAAAGAATCAGACATAAATGAAAAAATGAAACATCAACATCATTTTGGACCTAATCATGTTATGTATCACACAATTTCAACCCTACTCAGTGTTCTATGCTCAAATCAGAAAATCTGAGCTTACATCAAGAGATTTTGCCTGTTTAGACTACCGTTTCCTCATCAGTTTAATGAGAAGGTTAAATTAGATGTGATCTCTAAAGTCCTTAACAGCTTTAACATTCATTTAGTCCATAATAGAAGGACAAAATTAATCAAAACTGTAACAAGTAGCTTACCAGCCCAGTAGAGATGTTCACCTTCCCGCTAGATGGGGTAGAGGGGAGGACATTTTCATGCATTTCAAATGCTGAATTTTCCATTGGCCAAAAGATGTGGACTGGATGAGTCACTAGAAAACCAAACTACCTGGGTTTGTAGGTGGATTGGGAGGATCTCTGAGAGGAGAATGTCAGCATTCAAGTGAAGTAGCCTTATATAGTTGAAAGACAAGGAAATACAATATGCTCCTCATCTCTAGCTCTGAGATAAAACCCTTTGAAAGAACCAGCAAACGAGAGAGCAATAAAAAACACTTCCTTTACCCACCTCACTTCAGTAACTTATGGGAAGGATATGCTTATTTCTCAATTTGGCCTTGAAGTGCACAAATTCCTCTGTCCACTTCTCTTTTTCTCTCTTTCTCTGTCTATCTCTCATGCACATATAGACACAGACATAGCAAGGCATTTAAAAGGAGAAATATAAAGAAGTCATCGAAAGACTATTGATGGACAGCAGGTTATCCCACCTTAGCACCATCGTTATTATACAGTGTGAAGTCATAGCCTGTTTGAGGTGTGACTAATGAGATGTCTGTGTGAGTTTCAGGGAAATGTGGCCTATTACTTCCCTCTTCTTTTGGAAATTACATTTTATTGATATGTTTTGTCTTTACATTGCCTAAGTTTCTTCCAGTATCCCTCCCCCTCCTAGACAGCCCTCCCATGTAACAAAGAATATTTTAAAGGAAAAAAAAGAGATAAATATCAGCAAAACCAATTAATACAGCAAAAAAAAAAAAAGGCTGAAAATAGATGCAATGTACCATACCACCTCTTCAAAGAGGTGGGAGGAGGTGTCTTCTTTTTTTTCCTTTGGAGTCATATTTTGTGGTGATCGTCCTTTTCGTTCATATTGTGATAGTCATCGTGTATACTGTTTTCTTGGTTCTACTTACTTCACCGTGCATCAGCTCATGTAAGTCCCTACTTCTCCATATGCATAATATTCATCATTTCTTATAGCATAGTAATATTCCATTGTATTTGTGTACCACAATTTATTTAGCCATTTCCCAATCAATAGGTACCTACTTTATTTCCTTTTTTTCTACCACAAAAAGTACCATTATAAATATTATGGTATATATGGGGAATTTATTCTTATCAATATCCTCCTTGAAGTATATGTCTAATAATGATAACTCTGGGTCAAAGTATATGGGCACGTTAGTCACCATTTGCAGAATTCTAAGTTGTTTTTCCAAATGGTTATTCTAATTCACAGCTTTGCCAACAATTGTATTAGTGTATCTACCCACAAGCCCTCCAACATTGACTATTCCCATCTTTTGTCATCTTTACCAATTTGCTGCATATGAAGGGAAAACAAAGGATTGTTTTGATTTGCATTTCTCTTGTTTTGGAGCATTCTTTCATATGGTTATTAATCGTTTGGGATTTTTCTTTTGAGAACTTTTTTCATTTTATTGCTTTTCAATTTTTTTTAATTATACTTCTATACATTTAGTTTAAACTGGAACTATTTCTGCTGCTAAAAGGGGAAACAATAGACAATACAGAAAACATAACATGTATGCTGCATTGTTCAGTAGGCCTCTCCATAACTCCATTTGGGGCTTTCTTGGCAAAGATACTGGAGTGGTTTGCCATTTCCTTCTCCAGCTCATTATGCAGATGAGGAAACTGAGGCAAACAGGGGTAGGTAACTTGCCCAGGGTCACACAGCTAGCAAGTGTCTGAGGCCAAAGTCTTCCTGATTACAGGCCTGGCATTGTCCCGTGGGCCACCTAGCTGTCTATATGCTGCCTACATACCACATAATTCACAGATTTTATAAGGCTCGGTTTCCTTATAGATAAAATGAGGAAAGAAGTTAAACTAAATCATCCAAGCTCTGTTAATTATTGATTGTGAGATATCAGGCAAGTGACTCACCTCAGTTTCCTCATCTTTAAAAAGAGGGTATTGGACTAAATGACCTCTAAGGCCATTTCTAATTCTAAGTCTATGATCTTGTGATCTACAATCTTGGGATATCTATCAGTCATATTTCCAATGTTTGTTGATTCTCTGATGATTTCCCTTTATGGACAGCCTGAATTTCTTCCTGATATTCACTTTTAGTTGCTCTGAAGTAGAATAAGTGGCAGGGATGCTGGTTGGAAGAACAGTGGATGAAAGCAAAGAGAAAAAGATCTAATTAAACAGCAGGGCACTCTCTACACAATAAGGAAATAAAAATAGTGCCTTGCACTTTGCCCATAGTATACTTCTTTCATCATAGTATGTTGTTATTCAGTTGTTTCAGTTGTGTCTGACTCTCCTCAGCCCCATTTGGGTTTTTTTTTTTGGCAAAGATGCTGGAATGGTTTGTCATTTCCTTCTCCAACTCATTTTATAGATGAGGAAACTGAAGCAAACAGGGCAAAGTGACTTACCCAGAGTCACACAGCTAGTAAGTGTCTGAGGCCAGATTCAAATTCAGGAAGATGAGTCTTCCTGACTCCAGGCCTGGCAATCTATCCACTGAACCATCTAGCTATGCCAAAACTGCAAAGCAGGCTCATTTCTGTCAGAGTTTTCATATCTTCTTTGTTTGTATAAGATATGGTCATAGTGGTCCCCTTCATTAAATGTTCACATGAAATAGTTGCAGTTAATGTAACTAATACATTCTTATGGAAGCAGTCAACCAGAGAATTTTATAGATATATAAGACCTTAAAGATAATCTAGACCAGTATCTCCATTTTATAAATAAGGGAATTTAGATCCGGAGTTTAAAAGACTTACCCATGATCCAGAAAGGTACTGGCAGAGCTGGGATATGAGCAGATCTCCTAACTCTTGGGAGAATTCTGCTCCATTATGCTGCTGGCTGCAACAGAATGCCACTACGGTAAATATATATGAATCTTGGGAGAAAGTATCTTTGTGACTCCATTGTTATAAGACTTAAAAAAATCATTTAACTCTAATCACATCTATTTAATTCAGTCATAAGTTTAGATTCCAAGCCACCCCATAGGAAGGGTCCGTTGCATACAGAGTGTATCACCATGGGAATGTTCTAGGCCTAGGCCCAGGTAAAGAGTATAGAATCCATTAGGCAATCACTATTTATTAAGTGCCTACTATGTGCCAAGCAATGGAAATACAAATGCAAAATTAAATAGCCCCTGCCCTCAAGGAGTTCCCATTCTTTTGGGGAGCCAATGGGTATACAAATATGAGCATACAGAATAAATACAAGGAAATACTTTAGAAGCAGTTCAATGTAGAACTATGTCTCTAATGAGCCATAGGACCCCAGGTGAGTCAATTAACATCATCTGCAACATGAAGGAACTGGATTAGATGGAAGGTCCTTGAGGGCAGGAAATATTTTGGGGTTTGTCTTTGTATTCCCCGTGGCAATAACAGTGCCTTGCAGAGGAACACTTTAGTAAATATTGGATTAGATTGGATGTAAGGTTCCTTCCAGCTCTAAATTCTATTATCTATTATTATATTGCTGAATTCTGAATTTGATTAAGTTTGAATTGTTGTTCAGTCATTTGCAGTTGTGTCTGACTGTTCGTGACCCCATTTGGGGTTTTCTTGGCAAAGACACTGGAGATGTTTACCATTTCCTTTACCAGCTCATTTTACAGATGAGCAAACTAAGACAAACAGGGTGAAGTGACTTGTCCAGTGTCACCCTGCTAGTAAGTGTCTGAGGTCAGATTTTAATTTCAAGATGAGTCTTCCTGACTCCAGGCCTAGGACTCTATCCACTGTGCCACCTAGCTGCCCCAGAAGAGGGTTTACTTTGCTTATAAGGATACTGAAAGGCCAAAGATACATTTGGGTAATTCTGGTTCTGGCTCTGGCTCTGGTTCATTTCAGTACCAAGGCTTTCCCTGGTTTCTTTTTTTCTCTATGGAGACAACTCTCAAATCATGGCAAATATAGCCAACATGGAATAGAGAATCTCCCAGGCAGGAAACTGCTTCAGTGTTTTCTTTTGTTTTGTTTTGTTTTTGTTTTTGTTTTTAATAGGACCAGGGGAAGGTTAGCGACTATGTCATCAGCACAAAGCCTTCTGTTACACATGAAACAATTATGCTCTGGGTGACTATGTGGCAGGGCTATCATCCATCCTAATTCCCAGATGTTTGTAATTCTATCCATGCTACAGCCTAGGGACATCCCTCTTAAAATTATTCTATTCCCACTGTAGCCTAATGGACTTTTGTCTTGAAAATTGATCTGTTCCCCAGGGCCTACGCCCTCCCTGGTAATGTAGATAGGCCTGGTTATAGTTTACTACAACTACATATATACACCAACTCACATATCCATAGCAATGTACAATGCCATACTAATAATAGTAATAACAGCAATAGCTAACATTTATACAGTATCTACTATTTGCCAGGAACTGCGCTAAGCAATGTACAATGCTATATTAATAATAAATAGTTAGCACTTATATAGTACCTACTATGTGCCAGGCACTATGCTAAGTGATTTGAAAATATTACTTTATCTGATCCTAACAACAATCCAGGGAAGTAAGTGATCTTAGTATCTTCATTTTACAATTGAAGAAAGTGAATTTAAATTACTTTTCCAAAGTCCACACAGCTAGTAAAAGTATCTGGGGACAGATGTGACCTGAGGTCTTCCTGACTCCAGGCCTACTGCTCTAGCCACTGAATCACCTACCTGCTTCTGTTGGGACTAGTTGAAAGGATTCGAATATCTGGCTTAGAGGAGACATCCTAGCATTTTCAAACATTTCAAGAGTTATGATCTGGAAAAAGAATCAGGCTTATTCTGGTTGGCCTCAAAGGGAAGAACTGGGAGTTGTAGATGTAAGTCGTAGAGGCATATTTTAATTCCATGTAAGGAAAATGGTCCTAACAATTGGAGAGTCAAAAATGGAATGGGCTTCCCCTGACAGGAGTAGCTTGCACTCCATTAGAGCTTTTAGTCGTTTGTTGGGAATACCATAAAAGGCGATTTTTGCTTAGGTGTGGGCTAGACGATCTGACGAGCTTTCTAATTCTGAGATTCTGTGCAAATGTCACTATACCTGTTTTGCTGATGAGGAAAAAGGTTCAGAAAGGTGAGATAACTTACCCATTATTACACTAATAGGAAATTATCAGAGCTGGGATTTGAAGCCAGGTCTCCTAACTGCAAATCCAGTATTCTTTCTACATGTGCAAGGAAATGTTCC